CTATCTGCAGCCTTGAGTCCCAGCTTGCGGGACTTTACAAGCGAGACAACAGTTCTCCTTGGGCTGTTTATTGCTCCTTGTTCCCTTGGGACATTAGGCTTTTTGTCCATGTCTGTATTTCTTTACCTCACCAGCATCAGCTTCAAACTACTCCACAGTGTCAAGGCCTCACGCCTGCAGCTTTGGCTACCAGATGCAGGAAGGCAACCAGTGTGTGGGTGAGTAGCCCCGTCTCCTCCCTCCCCATCGTGCTGGTGAAGGCGCTGTCTGATCCACACTTCCACCCCATCGGTGTTGGCTCCATGCAGTGCTCCCCTGGGACAGTGGCCTCCTTTCTACACACTGCTTTCACCTTGCAGCCCGAGTCTCTGGCCCCCTCCTGCCTTAGGGGATGAGTTTGCTGCTTGCTTTCCAGTTCTGCAGAACATGAATTCATTTTCTTTCTATCTTTCTACTTCCATGTCATCTATTTACCCACCTTGCTCATATTTTCTCAGCCGAGTGACAACTGCACCTATCTGGCCACAATTGGTGAGTCCCAGAGACATCTAGACAGGACCAGAGCTCCATCTTCCCAGGTGGAGTGGGATGTGTGCTCCCGTGGGGGCCTTGAGGGCCTGTGACACTGGCTGTTCTAGAAAGAAGTGGGTTCCCTGCCAAGGAAATAGTAGTCCTGTGGGCACAGGAGCCTCATGGATGGGACCTCTGGAGAACAGGGACACCATATGCCATGTGACCAGAGGGACTGGTAAGGGGTATGACCAGTCCCCTGGGGAGCTTCTGCTGAGTTGGCCAGTATGGCTTGGGCAGTGCTCCCTGGGATCCATCTTGGTCCCTTTGGCTGTGGTCAGATCAGAGCCCTGGAGCTGCCTGCAGCATTGGGAGATGGTCAGGGCGAGGGTCCCCCACTCCTGAGGGCCACCCCTTCCCCGTCCTGTACGGTACTATTGGCGAGTGGCTCCCTCTGCTGTGTATACCTATAGGTGGCGCATTCATCCCGTAACAGGGCTGAGACCTGGTTTCTTGTGTGGTTTTCAGGGTCTCATTTTGGTCTCAGTGAAGCTGGATTTTAATGGATTCTCTTTTTGGTATGATTTATCTCCTTGTCTTTTGCTTTTGAGGATTATTATGAGTTCTTCTACTACGATTATCTAATTTTGTTATATATTCATTATTTTTAAAAATGTAGTTTTTCTCCTTTGTATAAATTTGAACCAGAAGTACATGTGTGTATTACAACTTACCTTGTCATCTTCCATCTTTTTTCCTTTTCTTCAACTAAACTTTGTCTCCTTTTTCTTTTTCCTGTCTTCCTTAAGTAGACAAGCATGTTACATCTAACCAGGCAGTCCAAAAGTCAAGGACAGTAATACTTTTAGTTTTCCTTTACTTTCTTATTAGTTGTCAGTGTTCTATCCTCAGTAAAGTATACAAGATTATATTATCCATTCTCATGGAAAGATAAACAAGGTTAGCTATTATTTTTGTGCTTAAACTTTTTAAAAAATTATGTATTTGGTACAGGATCTCACTATACAGCTCAGACTCACAGTAATCCTGCTGTATCCTTATATGAAAGGAATCATTTGGATGACTCTCCCCACCCCCCAAAACACAGCATAGGATGTTCACAAATGGGTGCTACCACAGTAGGTCCTCTGGACAACCTTTATATCTTGGGGTTCCGGAATGAATTCCTAGATGGGCAAAGACATACTGAAGACAATCCCGACATTAGTGTGGTGAGTGTGTCACTCATAGCTCGTCTCTTACACGGACTCTGCACAGCCTGTCCTCGCTGCCAGATCCCTGTGTTGATGCCTGATCTACCACACGCTGGTGGGAGGAGGTTCCTTCCTGTGGGCGGGGTTAGGTCATCAGTGCCCTTGCGCAATACTCCCAGCTCTGAGCACACAGTGAACAAATTCCATCTGGGAGCCAGACAGTGGGCGTTCAGCTGACAGCCCGCTGGCACATCTATCCTGGTCTTCCTTTCCTTCACAGCTGTGAGAAATAAATTCCTGTGATCAGCTGCCTAGTTTGTAGTCAGTGTTTTAATAGTCCCAGTGGCCTTGAGTAGCAAGGTAGTAGTATTGAGTATGACAGAGCAGTGTAGAGGAATCTTCATCTTAAATCTTCTCCTGTCAGTTGCTGTCTCAGTTACTCTCCTCTTGTTGCTGGGACCAAATACCTGACACCCAAAATTAAGGAAGGAAAGGTTTATGTAGCTCACAGTTAGTGGAGGCTTCAGTCCACACTCGGCTGGCTCCATCGCAGAGTAGCACAAGGCACAAGGCAGCAGTTCATGGTGATGGAAGACAGGAAGAGCAGAGGAAGGAACAGCAGCTGTGGTGTCTATCGAGCCTCTCTCCCTTCCACGCTGAATGCGACCAGAGCTCCTCAGAGGAAGTGGCGTGCAAAATCCTTCCTCAACCCCCTTTTGTGCTGAGTCACTCTAGGGCAGGCCCTCCACACGGCCCAGGAAGGAGCCTCAGCATGGAGTCGATCTAGCCAAGCTTCCTGATAGGTTCTGGCCCTGGTACGAATTGCTAAAATCATCATGGTGGTCATCTAATATGGCTGATGCCCTTAAAACAAAAGCCCATCTTCCCAAGACCACCTCCTCCTTCTTTTCCAACTTAGCCCAGAACATAATTTACTTTCACCCTTCCCACCATCTCAGGGAAGCCCCAAATCAGCTCCCTCAGGTATATCTAAACATCCCCTCCAAATTCCATCCCCGGCAAAAGGCCATAAGAACCTCAGCCTCCCTTTGTTCTAATCCAGAGAATTCCTCATCCTTTTCCTAACTTTCTCTGTGTTCTCAAAGAGAATAAAGCTCCTTTCCCCTTTTCCTTCTGCCTGTTTCTCTGCTGCACCAATACACCCTGCATCTGAAAACACCTGTCACTTCCTACCCCTCAAGTTCACACAATGTATCAACCACCACAGTTGGTATTTGTTATTCATCACTCAGCATAGGAACCAGATCAGCCAGATGGGAATTTGAATATAGAGCCTTTATTCCTGAGCTCAGGTCCGTCAGCCAGCTCTCACATAGGAGAAGACTGAGCAACAATCGAACGTAGGTAGCGAGGGGTATTTATAACAGAAATCACATCAAGTTTGGTAAGCGAATTTGTTATCCAGCACAGACCAACAGAAAGCTACCTTCATTTGACACAGCTGCAAACTGTTTGTAGCTAAAGGGTCTTTTACAGTTTAGCGATAAGCACATATTTTTATAAGACATATCTTAAGCTGACTATGTTTACAGGAGATGGTTAGGGAGGGAGTTTGTTTTAGTTTGGTGCCTGGACAAGAAACAGTTATTCACTGCAAACGGCCTTGGGCAAGGAGTGAGAATTCATTCCTCAGAGTAGATAACAGGAAGCACAGGATTTCTCCTAATAATTTTCCATAGTTAAAGCACAAAATTCGGTTAACCCATTACATGCCCCATTGGTTTTGTCCAGGAGTCAAATCTTTGATTCATTTAAACCTCATAACTTGAATTGCCTGGGGGTGTGAGAGGCTCATAGTTAGACCTCAATACCATTAACATTATTGTCTGAATTCTTTGTTGTATATATGTAGGGAAACAGCTTATTATACAAGGTCTGATGAGCAGGACCAGAAGAAATATGATCATGGGCCCAATCAAGGCAGTTATCAGATTATTTATCTAAGGAGATATCGAGAATAGTCTCTAATATTTTTTGAGCAATCTGGGCTATAAAAGCTGGGCCAAAGGGGTTGGGGAGAATGCTCAGTGGAATACGTGCTTCCCTGGCAAGCGCAAAGGCCTGAGTTCAATCCCTGGTTCTGAAAAAAAAAAGCTGGGCCATTGTCAGACCCCAGAGTAATAGGCAGGCTGAATCTGGAAATAATCTCTGTCAATAACTTTTTTGTCATTATCAGAGCTGACTCTGATTGGGTGGTGTAGGCCTCTGGCCATCCGGTGAAGGTATCCACTAAAACAAGGAGGTACTTGTGGTTGTTTCTCCCAGGAGTTATTTTTGCAAAATCAATTTTCCAGTGTTTTCTAGGAGAAGAGCTCTTGAATTGGGCAGTGTCAAAGCTAGCCCTCTGGGGTCTTTAAGCTGTTGGCCAGCATGAGATCAGAGTCTGAGTAGGTGGATTTTTAGAACTCGAGGCAGCAGGACAGGCAGTATCTCTAGTGGCCCACTGGTTTTTGTGTTACCTCTTGAGCTGTAATATCAGCCAGGGAGTTTCCCCAGGTAATTGGAGAGGTTTTTTGCCTGAGTTGTTCAGAGCGTCTAGGTGCGCAGGATCTGGGGGAAGGCAGGGCTGGGGTACTTAGGCTATGCACTTTTTCACTCGTGAGTGATGAATCCACGGCTTATATCACGTAACTTTAACACAAATGGGCGTGTAGTCAGGATGCCATCCGTGTCCCTCCCCTCTGCGCTGGAGGGGCTCTTGCCTCCAGCTTTTGATTAACATTTGGTTCCCCGGGTTGAAAATGG